CAAAATGTTGAGGGCTTTTGAAATGCAATTGATGATTTTTATCTGCTGTAATAATGTGTGAATGTTTGTAGTATTTTTTTTTAACTATATTGTATCATGGGACCTATTCTTGTATAATTTTCTAAAGGTCTTAATTTGATCTGAGGAATTTTGATAATTTTTATAATGAGAAACAAAAATATATTTAAATTTCTTCTGTTTCTCAATCAGCTACTACTAAGACTGTAAAATATGATAGTACATATCTTTTAAAAGTATATATTCAGAAATAGATATTATTGGCATTTAGAATTTAAAAAGATACGCTGTCAATCCCTGAGTTTCTCATAACATATCAAGAGAGCAGATATTGTTGACTCCATTCTGCTGTGGGGTATTCTGTATGTTGTGAATGTGTTGCTCTGATTGGTTGATAAATAAAATGCTGATTGGCCAGTAGCTAGGCAGAAAGTATAGGTGGGACAAGCAGACAAGGAGAATTCTGGGAAGGGGAAGGCTGAGTCAGGAGATGGCAGCCTGCCGTCCAGGGAGCAGCATGTAATGGCACACAGGTAAAGCCACAGAGCATGTAGCAACATACAGATTAACAGAAATGGACTGAGTTTGTGTAAGAGCTAGGCAGTGGTAGGCCTGAGCTAATGGCTTAGCAGTTTTAATTAATATAAGCCTCTGTGTGTTTATCTGGGTCTGAGCAACTGCAGGCCTGGGCAGGACCAGAAAAAAAACCGAGCTACACCATTCTTCACCCTGAGAAGCTGAGGCCTAATGGGCAGAACGGTTTGTGCCAGCCCTTAGCCATCAGGTAGAAAAAAATGTGCTTTATTGTGCCTTCTCATCCCAACCTTCAGAGTCCCTGAGGATGGATGCAGCACCTGAGTTTTCGTTCTGTATCAGCTTGATTGGTTTTGGTTTCCAGTGGTTTGCTTTTCCCAGCTTTGATTTCCTTGATTCATGTTAAGTGCTTCATTAATAAGTCAGACTGGAGAGAGACGTTCACATAGCCCCTAAGCAAGCAGACCCTGAATTCTCCTGCAGAGGCTGAGAAGCCCTCTGGAAGCCCAGAAACTGTCACCTATGAGATGCATCTAGACTTCCTTTGTTAGTTTGGAGAGTTTCTAGGGAACCATGATGATTTCAAAACATTGGGTTCCAAGCATTCAAAGTCCTATAATCAATTTCAAGATCCTTGAATGAGAATACAACACTAGCCTGGTACTGCACCCAGTACTCATATATGCAAGGCCTGCAGATGACCAACTTCTTAGAGTGTAGCGGACTCAATAGGTCTATTGCTCTCAAGTAACTCAGGAATTCACCTCTTGGAACAACCACAAAGACACTGGGCTCACTTGAGAAGAGAATCAGGTAACCAAGTTTACTATTTAAACCTAACAGGATGTTTCCAAGGCGAAGCCTCGAAGCTGGCATACAGAAAGCTCTCCTGTGTCTGTCTGGTATTGAGTAGAAGAGCTCTAAAGAAATTTTAAAACAGTATAAAAAAAAAATGACACCCTTCTGTCTCTCACAGAAACTTCTTGAAGATAGATGAGTTTTATAGCCTACTAATATGAATATTTGTTGATAATCACTTAAGTGGCTATTAATTTATTCATATTGCTATTTTTCATACTTGTCATGGTGAACATTATTTGTGTTTCACATGGTGGCAAGAGTGTATTTGCAGTGAGAAAGTGTGTACTAGACACTGACTTTCAGTAGTTACACAGTTGTAAATGATATGTTCAGCTACTGAAAAAGCCTTTGGAATATGTTTTCATTTTTTTGTTACACCAGTTTATTTTGTGAAAGTAGTTAGCAATAAGCTACCAAATTTTATAATGATTTTAGTTTTATATTAAAACTGTCTCAAGTATACTTGTGCATCAAGTATATTAATAATGTTTAGAAGGGCAGAACTAAATTACATAGTTTTAAAATATTAACAAAAATTTATGAAGTAAATGAAACTAACATTTAAATAATTAAATGGATGCCTAGCCAGAAATGACAAAGGCTATTATTAGGTGAGCCATTCTTTAATTATAAAAACATCTCATTCAAATTATATTTCTTTTCACATGTGAAGGTATTTTACGTGTGCCATTTCCTTGAATATTGCCGTTTCCACTGATGTCTGAGTCTGTGTATTAGTTTCAGATACCCATAGGCCACAGTGGATTGGGGTTCTGACAGTGAAGAAAGTCATGAAGGCCCACACCTGGGACTCAGTGGGTGATTTTGGGGAAATAACCTTTGCTGTGCTTGTTAGCATTGGTTCTCTTTCAGGTGGGCATGGTGGGGAAATCTTTAAAATTTATCTTCATTTGACAATTTCCATTTACTGTCAATTGAACTAAGTTCTACCTTTTGATTGATATGTCCATGCTAATGATTGTATAAAATGAGTTCAGTTTAACATCCATTGCATGTGACAAGAGTCCCAAGCAGTCAGTGCTTGCCATGTGGAAGTATTAGCTAAAATGATGGCAGGGCCCAGAAGACATGCGTGTGTCTTCTGCTGTGGACGGCTCCCTAAGGATCATGTGCTGCTGCCCTCTTGAACTTCTGAAAACCATTTACTATTCCACTTCAGTAGCAAATCTATTCCAACCATGTTGGTTTTACCAGCTCTAACCAGTTCAGTTTCTAGAAGACCACCGAGAAAGCAATGTGTCAGGGTTCCTGGTGCAGCTGTCTATGACCTTGGTAGCCAGGCTCCTGTCTAATTGTCAGACTGGGCTAACATAACATCTTTGTAGCTTTTTGGTTGGTTGGTTGGTTTTGGTTTTTTTATTTTTTAAAAATAAAATATAATTAAATTATTTACCTTTTCTCCCTCCAATCCTTCCCATGCAATACCCTCTACCTTGCCCAAGATTTCATGACCTCTTTTTCTCTAATTGTTATTTTACACACACACACCTAAATATATAAATATTTATAGTAGGCTCAGTCCATCTTATATTGTTATATTGTTCATATGTAGATGATTTCAGGTTGACCACTTGGTGTTCAATAACCAACTGTGGCTCTTCCCTACAGAAGACTAACTTCCTCCACTCTCGGCATTCCTTGGTTGCTGGTAGTTCTTTGTCCAGACTTTGGGTCTTGTGTGGTTTTTTTTCCCCTTCCAATAACTTGACTGTTGGCATTGTCCTTATTCAGGTCTTGGTTATACACTTGTGCTGTTGAGACTCCATGGGTCTCACAACAGACATCCTGTTCTGGCTCTTACAATCTTTCCAGCCCTTTGAAGACGCTCCCTGTGCCTTAGGTGCAAGAGTTGTGTTGTAGATGGATCAGCTGGGGCTGGCATCACATGATGGCTTATTCTCTGCATTTTGATCAGCTGTGGTTTTCTGTGATGGTCTCTGTCTACTGCAAAGAGAAGCTTCTCTGACGAGGGATGAGAGCTACATTTGTCTGTGGGTCTAAGGACTCATATTTAGAATACAGCTCAGAATTATGCTGGTATAGTAAAGTGGGGATTACAGCTTTGTTTTGATGTATATATTTGTCATCCAACATAGATCTCTATCTGTCCTTTAAAGCAGATGAAGGTCTGATCATCTGTAAAGTCTGCTTGTCTGGGTACCCCTAGAGGTGATTCTGACCAGCTCTTACACACTTTTATACACTAATATGCTGCCTACCATTGAGCCCTCTATCTGATATTTAATATTTCTCAACTAAACTACGATTATTTTTGTTGTTGTTGTTGGTTGTTTGTGCTGATAATTGAACAAAAATCCTCACATGTGGCCAGCAACTATTCTATCAATAATTACATCTCTAGTGATTTATGTGAATACACATACATACACATCACACACATACACACACATACACACGCACACACACATATACATGCACATATCTCACACACACACACACATACACACACACACACACATACATGCACATATCTCACACACACACACACATACACATGCATCACATATATGCACACACAAATGAAATAATTTTAAAATAAAAAAATCATAGCCATGGCATTACTTCTTTCATACAGTGAGCTGTTTAGCGTGTTTTGAATGCCTACATGCCAGTCGCTGTGTTGAGACCTGGTGAAATGTCCCTGCTCTGTAGAGCCATTGGCATAATGGGTATTTTTGTCCAGTTGTTTTTCTTCATCTCTACCTCATTTTAAGAGTATTAAAGATTAAATGAATGTTTGCCCTTAAACATGTTAGCATTTTCCTTTATGATTTATTACCAAAAAGCCATAATGAAAGCTTCTAATTTTGAGAAGGAGGCATTCAGTTTACTTAGCTCTAGATTGTCATCTTGTCTTTGACCATTTACATCCAGCTGAAAAACATACGCTGAAAAATAAATCACAGGAAATTATTTTTCCTTTCACGAGTGTTTTGTCAAAGAGTAGCGGAGTTTGTGGTTTCCAAGCCTCTCACTGGAAACGTGCACTTCTCAGTTCTGGTCAGAAACTTTCACTGAAAATATGGCTAAGAATATATGACATGTCAGGGATGACTGTGACCTTTTCAGTATCCCATGCTTTGATTAGCTGGCTATTCTACTCACATTCCACTTACAGACAAATTGTGAAAGCCTTGAATGGCAAGTTAGAACTATATGGAATATTGAAAAGGTCACTGTGATTTAGCCTATAACCACAGAATTGAAAATACATGACAAGTCATTATCAGACTTAATTCTCACAACAAGGGCTGTGGTAAAGATGGGATATTATTCCAATTAAAATATTCTTGTCTCATACTAAAGGCTGAAATGGCAAAGCTCAAATGCCCTCATGACTCCTTTTGTGTGATGACTTAATAAGTTAGAAAGAGATTATAATTGAATTAAGCACGGAGAAAAGGAGGTAACAAGCCATTTTGATTTGCCAGTACATCGTAGAGGGAATAATGTAATGACTTTCCTGAAAACTCTAATTATACATAAGTAAAACAGATACAAAACCAATTCAACAGCCACCCCATGCTCTCTTTTTTTATCTACAGCATAGCTGTCAGTCAGATGGGAACTCCATTTATTTCCATGGAAATGAAGGCAGCGAGTTCAATTTTGCCACCACCCGGGATGTAGATCTTTCTACAGAGGATATTCAAGAGCAGTGGTCAGAAGAATTTGAGAGCCAGCCCACAGGGTGAGTAATTGTTATCTCCCATGCTGTGTATACCACCTACCTTTACTCCAGTAGACACGTTTTAAATGCATATCGTCAAATAGCAAAAGCATGCTTAAATCAGCACTGATGATTTTTATCACAGACAAGCCAAAAGGGGGACACTTATCCTGAGTCTCTATTAAGCAACAAGGTACTTTTATGCATACTTAAAAAGTTGTGATTACAAATACCTCATGACTTCATATATAGCTCATATTATTTAGCTTTTACTTGGAGAAAAAATTTTTCAATATTAGAAATCAAAGTATTTTCACCACAATTGTATTGAGATTTTCAGTTTTCCTCCTGGGGACTGAGACTTACAGATACTACTACCTGATTTTCATTGAAATGTGGTTTTGACCAATAAAAAAGCTACTTGGGGAATATAATTTATCTTTGGAAGACACATAAGAGAGGTATTTGGGACTGGGTTCAAGGATGGGCAGCCAGAAGCACTGAGGGTGTTGGCAGTTGGTGTTTGCTTGATGTTTTGTCTGATCTGCCTTATTCTGGGACCTTCCTGCCTAAGATCACTTACTAGGTGAGTGATGCTCTCAGAAGTTCCAGTTTTTCTGGGGATACAGCTCAGTAAATGAAAATGTTTGTCATGAAAGTGTGAGGACCTGAGCCACCCATGTAGAGTGAGCATCTGCACCCAGGGCATTTGTGAGAGAATGGGAAAGCCCCGGGAGCTTGTCTGGCCAGTGGAGAGGAAACAGCAGAGGCCGTTTTAAACAAGATAGGTGAGGCCTGATGCCTGAGCTTGTCCTCTGACCTCTGTGTGTGACCATGGCACATCCATACCTCTGTTCACACACACACACACACACACACACACACA